CTAGTGAAAGCTATGGGACGAAATTCCCCTACTGCGTATGATATAAACATAGTTGCAATATTTCAGATTAAGGAGAGCATGATTTTAATTGTAGAGCTGGAGTCAACATGCAGAGCAATTATTAATGCCAGACACCATAAATTTGGCTGCATCTGCTTTAGGCTTCATAGTTACTAACAAGCAAAAATCATTGCATTAATGGAGTAGTGGAAATACAGTGAAGCACTTTATTACCCCTAAAAGGCAGCATGTGGCATATAGGCTCTGTGGGGTGTTACCAGTGTCCTTGGAGCAGCTTCATTCCTTCACATCCTATGGAATTTAATTATCTCAGAATAACCATGACCCTGCGGGTCCTCTATTAAAATTATATTTTGTTACAGAATGGAGTATACATTATTGAAGCACATTATTTTGATCACTGAAATTTGACATATTGTGCTCATTAGCCAGTAAGCCTGAATATTTAATTTATGAGGTTCACTCCACATTTTTTACAGATCAGTCACTTAAGGGAAGTAAACAGGCAAAACTGCAGAGGAGTGAATGGGAAAAGTCCTTACTGAAATCGGTGTTTTAAAAGCAGAAGAAAAAAAAAAAGTGTGTCATGCCATATGCTGATTCGTGACACATTACATTAGGCAGGTAAATGGGTTAATTGGACTCATTAGCATCATTTCCTTTTTAAAACTTTTCAACTCAGAAGATGAAAAGATTATGTTAATCTTTACACTTCTCTCTTAACATTTTACATTTTTCACACGGGCCTTTTTTAATCAAATATCGATGATGACGCCTGTTGTTCTTCAAAGCCCAGCAATTAGATTGCAGCTCCCTCCCAGTAAGTGGTATTTCCTTATCTTTATTTCCCTCCCTTCCACAATTTGGTTTTGTTTTTTTTTTTTCATAAACACAACATAAGGTCCATTGAGTTGTTGCCAGAAAAGGCACTCTGGATGTTTTGCTGATCTGATGGCCAAGCAACCTGCAGAGGCTGCATCCCCCAAACCTTGGGCTGGAGACCAGGCACCTGCTTGACCCCTGGAACAGATCCCATACTTCTGTCCCACAGCTGAATCCACCACTCCTGAAGTTAAACCCGCGAATTACAGTCGTGTCACCCAGAACAGATTAGTTTTCATTTTCTTTCTGGCTGTGGCAGTCCCGGGGGATGTAGGTAAAGGCTGTGTGGGATGGGTGGACACTGCTCTCTGCTGGCAGCAAGGAAAGCGTGCAGGAAACAGCTGGAATTTCCCTTAAAATTACCTTCAAAAATAAGGCATTTCCACTATGTCATTCTGTACTGTTGTATACAGTGATTAACAATCAAGGCAGGAAAAAGTTATTAGATAAAATAACCGTTCAAATGTACAAGTATTCATTAAAAGCACCTAAATAAAACTGGATGCTCTGTAGAAAATAATTATTTAAATACAACTTTAAAATTCTTGCTTGCATGTGTCTGTATGTACACTAACAGAGAATACATCAGGACAAGGATAGAACTCTGAACAGTTTGGAAAACTGATAGAATAACTGTATCCTATTTGAAGATGTCAATCATCTTTTTAAAAGAAGACTTCAAAAAACAAGAATACCCTTTTAACAACTGTTAAATAACTTAGAAGACTAACTCTGTAAAGTAATTTTATCTTCCAGCCTGGGTCCCCTCTAAGAGCAGATGGAAGGTTCAAGACAGCACCATAAAACTACTCCTAAAACCAACTGCATGCCATGAGCATGATGCTAAGAAAATGAATGTTCTTGTGTAGCCACTTCTGTGAAGTAAGGGAGTGTTAAGCATTCTGCCCTAGCAGGTTACCTTTGAAGTTCCAGTTTGGTGCAGGGCTTTGTCACTGGCCCCAAAGTCAGATTTCAAATCACAAGCCCTGCCTTGAAGTCCATGTAAACTCTGTTTTCAAACCCTGGGACAGTCTCAGCTTTGCACAAGGGAGATGAAGGTACTTAATCCAACCCAGTCAATTTAAATCAAGGAGGACAGTACTTTATATCACAGAAAATGGTCTGGTCAAGATACTGTGAACAACCATCAAAAAACCCAAAAAGGTAAATGAAAGGAACTTGCTTGAGGGACTCAGAAAAACATGATTCAGTTTATTACCACATAGAGAAACCCAAGTTCAGGTGGCCTGAGCTAGAGGGTGAAATTTTCCATTGGAAGATCCTACCTAAGTATCAGGAAGAAAATAAACCAACTTGGCACTGATGTTAACTGTTAACTGACCCCAGTGAGACAATAAACAATTGCACATTTGTTTCTGCATTTTTTCTGTTGGACTCCAGGAGGAAACAGTGGAAGCCAGTTGGCAGATGATCGAAAATTGGTTATTGCAGCACATGCAACTGGGGCACAATGACTCCTTCAACTCAATCCATGGTGATTTGCTTCCCTCCACAGCACTAGGCCTTCACTAGACTGTATCTATTTTCCTCCTAAAGAAAGGAACATCTAATATTGCAGATAAGATCCAAGGACACCAGAGCAGGCAGCCACACACAATTGATTTTCTTGCTCCCTTGCATTCAGTGCTGCTCCACTGGCAGGCACTGACACAAGTTTAAAAACATTCTTGGAACGAATCTTTAGACCACTCTTACTTGAAAAAATCCAAAATGTATTATTTCACTATTTGTAAAGGCCCCAGGAAGCAAAGAGCCTTGAAGAAAGGTGACAGTGAATTGCAGGCGTGGCTTGGGATGGAAAGGCAAAGGATCCATCCCCATTCCTTCCCTTTTCCTCTTGCATTCCCTGCTTACATTTCTAGCATGGCTTCAGCCTGAAGCACTCTTCTTTTTCTACTGCTTGGGGTTTTGGAGGCTATTTTAAAACAGAGTGTAATCTAAAGATGTAGAACACAAAGGAAGGTCTGAAAAATCCTTAGTTCAGGACTATTTGTGGAAAAACAAGATGAAGAGAATGGGATATCCAATTAATTGGGACAAAACAAAAATGCTTCCACAAATGCAGGGTTAAAAAACATCATTGGGAAAAAAAAAGTCTCACTTCCAGTGTTCATCCCTCCCCACGGGCCAGAATTGAGGAGTGTCAGATGCTTCACTGCATTCCTGGTATTCTCCATCTGCAGCTGTGTGGGGAAATTCTGTTTTGAAACAGTCGATATCATCTCATTACAAGCACTGCATTTTTATGAGGGGGGAAATGAGAAAGACAAATGTTACTCCTGTTCATGAATTTGCCTCTTATCGTTTCACTTCTCTGCTCTGTGGAGAGTTATTTGATTCATATTAGGGGTTATTTGGGTCACTTTTACCTCAAGAGAGAAAATAATGGCAGCCTCATTTGAGATTTGTACCAATTTAAGTAAGGAAATGGATTCTGCATATTTTGCATAGCTGCTAAATTTAACTGAGGGTTCAGTGAAGCATGAGCTTCCAAATGTAAGAGGCTCTAACCATTTCCCCCTATTTGTTTTTAAACTACATTTGTTACTTATGATTAGCAATTTTGTGTCATTCATATGCAGTGTGCTGAAACTGAATTCAATAAGCTGACCTTCTTCCACCTATTAAGTTAAACTTGGTATTTAATTATGATGCATGCCAAGTCAAGCAGAAAAACTAAGGAGCATTTATAAATAAAATCATTGTGGGTTTTTGCAATGAGTAGGAATATTTGTCTTTATTACTTTTTGTAGGAAATTTATTACTGCTTATTTTGAATTGGAATAAACACCAAAAAAAAAAAAAAAAGAACATCTGTATCAAAGTGTAAAGAACCACAACAGTCAGAAGCTGTTTAATCTCATCCATTTAGTTCTAGTGCACAGTCTGTTCAGTGTAACTTTTTACAACGTACTGTGCAAGAAAACAGGTCATTTAAACTCAGTAATTAGTATTACAGATAAAATGACACTGCAGCAATGTTAATTACTCTAGTACTGATGTAGTAAGGGATATAATACATAATAGTCATGTCTTTAATTTTAAATTGAAGTGCAACAAAGCATATTATTCCTATGCTTCCACTTCTTAAATTAAATAGATCTTATTCAAGTGTACATTTGTATCCGTGCAGAATATTTTAAAATAAATCATAGTTCTGCTTTAACTCAAACTGGCATATTTTACTTTCTAATGGCATAAATTAAGCAACTTCTTGATCTAGAAGCTTTTCCTATGGCAGTGGAAATCATCATAGAATTATATTCCGTATGAAAAATTTCCACCATCATTTTCTTTTTCATTACAGAGGCTGTAAATCAGTTTGCAAATGAAGCACAACATTCAGTCTTTTTAAAAATAAAGATGACTCTCAGGGAGCAGTAGAGTTTTTGGAGGTGTAGTAAGACCTAGACATATATGATCAAATTGGAATTCATTCTGTACTGCTATGGCTAAAAGATCAGGCAATTGTACCTATAAAATATTCATAACAAAACAAAGAGACTTGCAGAGCAAGACAGTGAGAATTTTTACCTGCAGCTCCAGGAGGAGCAGAGTTCCCTGCTAATGAATAATTATGTCTCTGCTTCTTTGCAGCACCTTTACTTTTGGGTAACTTAGTTATAAATATTAAAAGAAGGAAAAAAAGAGGTAAATTTCAGGTTTGTTCAAGTGTACTTAAATAATTTATGTCGGCTGAAATGTTCCCATTTTCAGTGGAGAAATTTTGTAATGAAGCCGCTATTCAGACCTCGCATGAAAAGTGCTCTAAAAGCTTCCTTATTTAAAAGTGTAGCAATCCTATTCACCATGCTAACAACGTGCCCCTGGCTAAAATGTGTACATATGGATTTAGCAAAATATTTGAATATCCAATATAAGATTCAAAGGAGAAGCTGAAGTGTTACCTCGGGTCGGTTATTTCATCTCTCAACAAGACGCGTCGCTAAATTCGAACGAAGGTGCGAGAAGAGCAAAATCCTCAAGTACCTGCAACCAGTTCCTAAGATTTGCAGATTATTCCTTTAAAAATACCTCTCTTTTTTTTTTTTTTTCTTCCCCCCACCCCATTTTAGGTCAGTGGGACAATGTATAACACAGGGAGACACGTGTCTCTACGGTTAGACAAAGAGCACTTGGTCAACATCTCTGGAGGGCCGATGACCTACAGCCACCGCCTGGAGGAAATCCGGTTACACTTCGGGAGCGAGGACAGCCAGGGGTCAGAGCACCTCCTCAACGGACAGGCGTTCTCTGGGGAGGTAGGTCACCCTCCTGGGAGGTACCAGTGTGAATTACTCACTTTCCATCTCTGCCTGAAGGTATTTGCAAATTAATTTGTCCCTGTAAAAAAAATGGCTTTCTCCGGATCCATTCTGAAAATCGGGGAATGGGTTGTTTTTTTTTTCCTCGCCCCTGCACTGCAGATTGTGTGATTTGTATCTAAAAATGAAAGTGTTGTGTTTATTGTATGCAGAGACACCCTCTGCTCTCATCTGTGCTACTTACAAAGTAATCAAGTCTCTTCTCATGGCTCCTTTATGTCTCTTGTAAACACAAATACGAGATTAACCACAAAGAAATACTGAAAGTGCCTCAAATTCATATAGAATTGCTGGTTTTGCTACACACTGGTGTGTAACACTCTGCACTATCATCCTGCTTTTAATTCATGCAAAAATACGAAATACTTAATTTCAGAGGTGATTCCACAGAGCTCTGCTCAAGAAATAAAGTTGACTGCACAAGTAACCCCATGCAGAATTGGAACTCGTGTTGTATTTTAAATACACGTCTGTAAGTGTCCCAGGAAGGACCATAACTCCATGATCCTGTTACCCATTGCAGAATGGCCCACTATTCCTGCTGAATAAATATTTTAGTGTCTTGTGTGGAGTACTTTTTCAAGATGTAGATTAGAGTTTGCTGACTGTCTGGGACAAGCAGGGCAGAATCTTTCCATTTTCCTTATATAGGAACATTTTTACATAGGAGAGATGCACGAGGTTTGCAATACCCCATCCTTCTTCAGCCCAGCATGCAACTCTACTCCACTACTCAAAATAATGCTTCAGAATAACTGTATGTTCGTGTGGGGATCATTTTTAAAGATAAAATGTGTATCCCTGTTACCATTTTTTCAGAATACCAAGAAGGATATTTTTTTTGGTCATAAAGCACTCATTTTCTTGGAGATGAGTAATCAACTTGACATGTGTACAATCCATCACAGGCTCTGGTGATGAGTCAGTTAATGTGTGGCATTTTCTTTGGCACTGAGCAACAGCAGTTATTTTAGGGTAAGAAATTAATTGCAGAGTTGCCAAATGATGGTGTTATAATTGATGGAAATCATTGGCTTTGTTTTATAAGCTACATAAATGTATAATACAGCCAGTGGCAGCTTTTGCATGAAATTACTCATGTCTGACGCAACTGAATTCTGGTTGCCTTCATTAAATTCCATGATAAGTGAACATACAAAGTATTGCTCCTTTAAGAGTTGAAAGTTAAGTATGTTGTAGTAAATGAAGTCTTTGCTTTGTGTTCAGACTTATACAAGAGCAATATTCAAACAACAGAAAGTTGACTGAAGAAGAAAGCAAAAATCTGGTTGAAAGATACCATTGTACTTGATATGATGTATCAGCATCATTTCAGATGTTTTTAAAAGAGTTTTTAAGTTATAAATTCATCAGTCCTAGGCTATAACAATGAAAAAATGTAGATCCTTGTTTGGCAATATTCAATATTAACACTCAAGTAGGCTCTTCTGGTTTTGAAAGCAGGAGTTCTGAAGTACTATTAATATTTGGTATTTGCTAACAGAGACCTCAAGTTTTTCTTAATAAAAGCAGAAAATGCAGCTGTCAGTCAGTCAGGCAGGCACAGCTGGATCTACAATATGTGCAGGATTCATGTAGTTATGTGAATTCCTCCTGCAGTGAATGGGAGGAGATTAGCATCTTCAAAGGATGATCAGCCCTGATAGCCAGAGATGCACCTCTTAGGACAGGACAAATCACTCTGTGGAGATGCATCTCCCTTAACAACAGGGAAAAGACAAACAACAGGTTGAGGAGTTTAGACAAGACACCTTTTCAAATGCTGAGATGATTCTGTCCTTTGAGGATGTGCTTTTCAAAGTTTCAAAAAACTGTTTTGGGCAGCTGGACAGGTAAGTTTCAGTAAGGTCTGGTAATAATTACGAATTTGAATCTACATCTACACAGCTAAGTCTATTTACAGAACACAAGCACAGATGCAAATCAATCATGCTGAACAGAATGGCTGTAAAATTTTCAGGGAAGGACAGGAACTAATGGTGTTCTTTGACTGTACATCCACCCATACAAGTGCTGTCTGTGTAAATGAGTGACCTTTGCTAAGCTCTCAGCACTGGAAGGTGAGATGTCTACAGCTCCCAGCAACTGGAGTGAGAAAGCTGTAAACAAGCCAGCTGACTTCCTGATAGAGTGTGTGCTCTATATTGTAATGTGTGCTTTCAAGACTGTTGCTGCTAATTACTATTCACTTCTGCACTGGATAATGCTGTCAGAGGAGATGGGATAAAGAAAAATAACTGCATGGGCTCATTAGTTTAATTTAGCTGGTGCAGGTAAGAATAGCAATGAGTGTTTGCTGGCTTAGGCTTTAGCAACCAGAGAAAAATCATGGCAGGGTTGCAGTGTGTGACTGCTGATTCCACACTGAATTCCCATGGCAATGATCTCAGTTTAGTTGGACAAACCCACCGTGGGTTTTACCAAAACCTCTGTTTTGCCATGGAAACAATTCCCGAGGATGAAGTTACCCAAGGGGTGTGATCCATTCCAGTAGATCACAGTCAGTTTATTCCTACTACTCCTTCCTCCACTCCCATCCACATCTCTGCCCTCATTTTCACTGAGGTCTCCAAGACTTATTAAAGTCAGCACATTGCAGAGAGAGAAGGGGAGCCTGGGGAGGGGTCAGGGGAGAGGGCAGCACCTCTGCCTCACAGCACTGGCAAACTTAGGTTGGCTCACACAGACCTAAATTAAATCCAAATGCAGACAAAGCAGCAGCTTTTAAACAGCCCTGATGTATCTTGCATCAGCTGCAATGTTCTCTACACATGTGGAAATCCCACCCAACAGAAATACTAAAGAAGTGGTTTGTTTTAGGGACCTTTACTGCCTAGTGAAGATGTTCTGCAAGTGGGCAGGCACTCAGAGGAAGCTGGAGAGCACTGGAGTGGGACCATGGCATGAAAAACAGCCCAGAAAATAACAAATTGCTTCAAAATATATTGTGGTCTGAATGATACCAAGAGGCTTGTAATTTCCAGGCTTTAACATACAGCTAGGTGTTAAAGGCTGTCAAGAGAGACCTCCACAATTACCTGGTTACCTCTTAGCCCCCAATTATCACTTTAGTATAGACAGAATAACTGAACTAATTCTTAAACAGTTTGAGTGTAAAGGCTTTAAAACTGTGTATCAGATTATCATCAATACGTTTGGCACTGCTAAGTGGGAAGGCAGGCAGGCTTTGGAATGCTTAAGTTAATAAATCAAGCATTTACTTGTCCCCGTGATACAAACTGGAGCGTGTTTAGTTCCCTTTTCTTTGCATAAGCATCCTACTGTATTACAATGATTACAAGAAAATCTTGGCTTAAGCAAAGTCTCCAAGTAAGACACCAATCATTTGTGTCTGCTGCCTAATGCCCCCCTGCAAAACGGGTTTTAATGCTTCAGAGTCTGTATCATTTCATGAGAAAGACCAATTTCCCCTCAGACAGCAGCAGTACAAACAGTAGAATTGAGCAGGGTGGTGGTGTTCGGGCACTGTCTGCCTTGTTAAAATATAAAGGCAACCTCCAAAAAGTTTCATGCTGAAAATGGGACCCTTTAGCTTTACCATGTGGCAGAGTTATAAAAATCCAAACCATTTTTTTCTTCTAAGCATGAAAATGAAAAATGTGCTGCAGGAGACCTCCAGTCACTTTATGGCTCTGCCTTGGAGCAGCCTTATCAGTGCAAAGGCAGAAAGTCAAGGAGCTTAATTATTTGAGGTTATGCCCTTTTCACAAATTCAGTGGCTGGAGACTTTTAAACAAGAGACCACAGTCCACTACACATGAAAAAAAAGATAGATTTCTTCTCTTCCCACCCTTCCAAAAAGCCATGGACAAATTATAAACACACAATGACTTCATCTACTACAGGAGAAGTAAAATGAAAGTGAGAAAAGGGTCTGAATAAATAGATACATATTGCAAGCTGTACACACAGCTTGGAACTGAGATTTACTTTTGCTGCTGCTAAAAAAGCCACTGAGAAAACAAAAAGAAATACATGAAAATGGGAATCAAAGGGAGAAGCTGAACATTCTGAAACATCAGCCTCCTCTAGCTACTGCAAATTCTTTAACTGCAGGTGTGTTCTATGTGAGTGGGGAACTTCTAGTGATAGTAGAGGATTACTTATGAGAGAGGTCAGTGTCTCAAATCCAACTTGTGATATATTGGAAGCAGGGCTGTCACACAGACAGCCTATGAGAACCATCCAGCCAGCTGGAATAATTTAATCCAGCCTGCTGCAGAATTAGAGTGCTCTGAATTGTTCAATCACAAACAGTAGCTCTACCACTGAGACCTTCTGTACACCTCTGGCTTGCCTGTGCAATTCCAAACAGCCTCCCCCAAAACCTGATGGTGGTATCATTTATGGAAGAAACCATGGCTTGTCCTTGGATTGTGCTGGTACATAGTCCTTCCTCTTCTTTTGGAGCCTTTTTTGGAAATGGTGCAGGTCCTTTTTAAGTATTTCAGCCAGGAGATAAGTTTACTGCACTCCAACATTTATTAATGTTGAAAAATAAGCCTCTGAGGAAAGTACCAGATGAGGGAACACATGTCTAATGGAATGGGGGGGGTTTAGTAAAATCTCTATAACCTTCAGATTAATGTTCTACTTCAAAGGAGAAAGTCAATAGGATAACAAATTAAACTGATATAGAAACAGAATATAAATCAGGAAGAGGTGGTGGTATTGTCATCACTTAAGTATAAGGAGACTGCTCACAGGAGTAATTCAAAACTAGTGGGAGATGAATATGGGCTGCAGTTGTAAGAATTCACCTCTGTCCCCCCTAAATAATGTCAGTGGCTTCAGCTGACATTTTTTAAAATATCCATAGAAAGCAGGTTTAAAGTCCCAAAGACACATCACAGAATCTTCTGAGCTAGAAGGGACCCACAAGGTTCATTGAGTCC